TTAATTCACACACGCAATCGCTCTCACTAATGCATTCATATTAATGTAATCTTTACTGTGCTACTTTATCTGTATCTGATTTAGAACGAGCAGAAATCTGTATAATATAACGAGAAATATAACGACTTAAAGACAAAAGAACTGATAAAAAAAGCTGTTATAGGAGCAATAGCCATGTGGGCAGCGCTATGTCATATTCCATAGCTGTGCACAAGGTGTTTGTCATTTTCAGTGTCCCCGTAATTCAAAAGGCTTATAAATAATTCAGAATTAGTTTTTTTGAAAATCTGAAATAGCAGAAAGTTTCCTGTGAGGGGTAGGTTTAGGGGTAGGGTTGGTGTAGGGCAATAGAATATACGGTCTGTACAGTATAAAAACTATTACGCCTATGGAGAGTCCCCATAAACCATAAAAACAAACCTGTGTGCGTGTGTGCCAATGAGATTTAAATTAATTACTTTCATTGCTTGAGACATTACTTTTAAAGGCACTATAGAAAATCAAGTTTATTATTATTATAACATTTACTATTAACCAATAATATTATTATCATTATTGTTGTTGTTTTTGTTTTATTTAAGAAAAATATGAGTATGAATAATATTATTAAAATAATAAATAACATATTATTTAGTATTGTAACTGCTATTTTGTTGTTATTTTATTTGTTTTAATAATATATATGGTTTATATAGTACTATTATATAGTGTTGTTTTTGATTTATTATTTTTATGTAAGAAAAAAGGAATAATCATAATGATAAATTGTTATTGTTGGTATGTAATTGTTAGTCATTTCTAACCACTTTCTTATGAAAATGTGGGTGTCATAAAAATATGTAATTACAAATCAATTTATTGTGATATGCTTCTATTGATCACCCCTTACTGCAAATGTATAAAAAATGTGCTTGTGTCAGCATAGTTAGCTAGAATGTCTGAAGTTCAGGAAGCTCGTTTTACAAGAAAACCAAAGCACCTGTCTGATTCTGCAACAAATCATCTTAGAGACTAGTAGATGTTTGTGTGCAGAATGTTCTGCCCATGATTACAAAAACTGTCATGCGTAAGTGAGCAGCCATTGGCCGTCCTCTTCATGTGGCTTTGCTTTTCTCTGCTGTTTCTTGGGTGTATTGTTTACACACACACACACACGTTTGTCAGTCTCCGCAGGGTGAATGTTGAGAGCTGTGGGTGCTGATGGCAGGCAGATCGAGTGCTGAGCTCTGACAGGCCACAGCTGCTGCTGCTGCCCTCATTCAGCTTAGAAACATTTACTGACCTCATTGATAAATATTTAACTGTGTCGACTACAAATATTATGATCCTTTTTTTGTTTGTTTTTACTGAAACATTAATAGAATGTAAAATACCAGCTAGATAGTTGTGTAAACACAGGCCTTCAACAGGTTAGATTGAATTTAATGCGGATGAAGCCGAGACCAAAATTGACAAATATATTACTATTGTACAGAATATCATTTATTTATCAAAGTAATAACAATAATAATAACAATATGCTTTATTAAAACATCATTTTCAGAAACATATCACACAATTTTTCATCAATTTCTAAATATAAACTGCAAACCTTACAGTTTGTGCAGCAGTTTGTTTGCCAAAAAGGAAAGGAATGGTTCAAATTTGATTTGATTACATTTTAAAATTATTATAAATGAGTTATGCGTTCATTGGATTACCACCATTTTTTTGAAGAATTTTGTATTAAATCATAAAACACAGTGCAGATAAATTAAAACCATTGAATTTCTCATTTCAAACGGCATTTGTGTTATTTATATTGATTTGATTGATCAGATTTGGGCCCTAAACAGTTTTGCACATGCATGAAAGATGTTCTTCACGAGGGTTTGTGAAAGCTGTAGCGTGTTTGTTGGAAGAAGCTCTTTCCTGAATATGAGGAAGTGGTGGGCTGTTAAGATCAGACCCCCTCCGAACACTCAAACCTCTTTTCACAATATACAGAGGGTGGGGCACAGGAAAAGAGGAAATGACTCAATCCCATTGAAAACTCTACTATTACCACACGTTCTGCCAGGAGTGTGCACATTTTTTTCAATAAGACACATTAATATTAGAGCGTATGTGTCCAGCTTCTCTGAGACCGGCAGCACATTCACTGTTCTCTGCTCTCCTCTCCCACACAGCTCCATCTTTTATTATCAGTCTTCCCCCCTACACCCCAGAGTGCTCCATACGTCTCACGGTCGAGGCTCTTTTGAGGTTCAAGTGGCTCTTCCGCATAAAAGACGCCGCTTCAAAAGACTTAAAACACAATACAGCGGCCCGCTCACGTGGAGGCCGTTTCTGAACCAGGTTTCACTGTCACGGGTTTGTTACATTTCACAAATCTCAGCACGCATGTTGCAGCTGACACCCAAACACTGCAGTAAAAAATAACAATGGTGTCCTTTAGGGTCGGCTGTTTCGGGTTTAGAGGCTGTGCACTCTGGGTTCCTTGTTTCCTGGTCGGGGTGTGTGCATTTTGCTCTTTCCTCTGATGACATCATGTGTGTGTGTGTGTGTGTGTGTGTGTGTGTGTGTGTGTGTGTGTGTGTGTGTGTGTGTTCGTGGCAGCAACCTCGGGGGGGTGTTGTGGGAAAAGAGCGCAGAGA